GCAATATGAAAAGAGTATGAGAGTATGAAGAAAAGATATGATATATGTTACAAGAAGATTTTGATTTGTGGATGTGTAAAGGGATAAGGAAATTAAAGGGTTAAGTATGCTAAAGGTTATATGGAAGTGTAAATGATAAGTTCGATATAGAAATATGAAAAGTGTGCAAGGTGATGTGAAAAGATTGTTTGATTCCATAAAGTATATGTTTAATCACAATTGAAGAAGATTTAAAGTCGTGTTTTGGTCAAATGATGATGGAATAAGAATTTGGTTACTGTTATGAGGAATTAGAGATAGATTTATGATATTGAGTAATGGAAATGGATGTTACTGTTTATGTGATAAGTGACATGATATGAATGTATAAAGGAAAAAGGTAGTTGAAAAATTAAAGGATTGAAAAGTAAGTTTTCTGATGATGACAACAAAGATTAAGTAAGTGAAGCAACATGAGAACATTAGAAGATATGTTCTTATCAATGTGTGCAATGAAAATTCGAGGACAAATTTTCTTAAAAGGAGGGGAGATTTGTAACATCCCAAACTATGGGTTAGTGATTTAATTTTAAAATTTCAAAATTTGGTGATTAAAGTGGAAAAGTTGAAAGGTTCAATTATTTATTTGAAAGTATTTCCTAAAAGTTTTAGTAATTATTAAGGAATTAAAGGGTAAAATGGTCATTTGACAATAAAGATATTTTCCCCCTATTATATGAATGAATCACGTGGGGGGAAAGGGGAAGAGTTATCTTCTTCTTCTTGCTTTCTTCTTCTCCACCGTGGACTTCAAGAGCAAAGGTATGATTTCTTAATTTTTTATTATTAGTTGAATTTTAAGTTGGGTTTTGATCATTAGATGATAACTAAGCTTACAAAAAGCTTAAGTTATCTTAAAATCAAAAGATGAAGAAGTTATAAGAGATTAAAGAAAATGAGTTATTATGGAAAAGAGTTGATAAGTTGAATTTGAAGTTAAATTTGACTTGTCATCAAACTAATTAAGGAATATGAAGTGTTAGAATTGTATTTAGAACATATTGAAAATTGGGTATGATTCTTGAATTCTAGGTAGAGAAGTGGATTTTAAAGTTAAGGATGTATTGAATGAGTATTAATGAGTTCAAGTATGAGTAGATGAGTTAAGAATATGTAAAGGAAAGAAATAGTAAGTGTTTGAGCAGAAATGAGGTGATTTTCGTGCTCAAAATATAATTTCTGGTCATAAGGGGTATCGATACCTCCTCTTGAACGAAAAATTATAGAATGTTAATATGGTATTGATACCCTATAGGGGGTATCGATACCCCCCTGAAGATGAAAAATTCCAGAATGTTATCAGGGTATCTATACCATAGGCAGGGTATCTACACCTCAGTTAGGGATGTATCGATACCTATTTTATACAATAAATGAAATTGGTCTTTCCTTTAGTATAATAATTGGAAGATTAGAGTATACAATTGTATTAACTAATATGTATAAATGCATAATTATGTAGATAGTGAACGTAACTTTGTTCCGCAACGATTGAGGGATTAGAAACGATCGAGAAATAAATAAGTTCTAGAATCAATTCAAATCAAGCAAAGCTAAGGTGAGTGCAATTTAATTTGTACTTATGTATTGAATAAACATCGGCTTGCGATGAGCCAATGATGGAGTTACTATGGTAATAAGTAACTCCTAAAATATTATTTGATTAATGATCGATGTGATGATTTATATGATTATGGGTATATGTTATTATGTATACCATGATCTACATGAATATGCACTATGTGATACATGTATATGTGATACGTCTGACATGTTATTCTATATTCTGATTGATGTATATATATGAATATATGTAAACAAGACATGACATACGTGCTTATATGAAAACATGAGAAATGATTACACGCACATGTGATATATGTTATATGATATGGATCTATGTGACTACGTGAGAAAGAATATATGTCTATGAGAAGACATAAGAACAAGGTATAAGCTATGTGACATGTGAATATGAATCATATGAAAATGTTCTACGTGTAAATAAACTATGTGTTGATATGAATATGTAATAAATATGAAAGATAATGCCCATGTTATGTGTCATGAGATTTAGAGGTATAGTTGGCATGCCTAGAGTAGAGGGTCTACGCGGTCCTTCGGGACAAATTCTACGTGGTCCTTCGGGACACATATGTATTCTTTGGAACATGTATGAGGTCTTTTGAGACATCTACTTGATCCTTGGTATATGCATATGATTCTTAAGGAATTTCTATGTGGTCCTTATGGACAATCTTATATGGCACTACGGTGCAATTCTACTTGGCACTTCAGTGCAAATTTCTACGCGGTCCTTCGGGACAAATTTTATATGCCACTCAGTGGGACTTATACGAAGCTGTGGTGACAGCAATAGTGCACAACCTCAATGTACTCGAATACCATAAGTTCTCAATAATGTACATGGGCTAATAAAGAGACAATAACAAATACAATATATAAGATGCATATGCTTGTGATGATATAAAATGTCTTGCATGAATTATTGGAGGCTATGTGTATTTCTTTGTGATAATGATATATGTGTTCCGTGATTTGTATAGAAATGCTTAGTATATGTTTATATGATAAGAAGAATTAGTTACATTTATACATGGGATTAAAATGAGATAATAACAAATACACTACATATGATACGTATATTTGGTAATATGAAATATATTATAGAAATTACATGAGGATATGTTTATTCCTTGGTATAGTGATATATGTGTTATATGATGAATATATGGTAAGTAAAAGGAATTTAATGATAGTATTTGCAGATGTATGCCTTTTGTTTATATGAAATGGTATATGGTTATAATATATGTTTTATATGTCTCACTAAGTCAACGAGTTAGCGTGTGATTGTTTCACGCGTAGGTTCCGAGAAGAGGAAGATTGGTAAAAGTTATGCAAGACAGATCAATTTCTCCTTTCCAAAGATCAGATCAGAATAGAAATGTATAGTATGTATTTTGTAATAAGGATAGTGGTTGGCATGTAAATAAAAGATTAAATCCGATATGTTCTAATCGGTTTTGTAAAATCATATGATAGAATTTGGTAATGTTTTAAATATGTATATGTAAATGGTAATTTTATACAACTGAAACCTCATATTTTTTTATAAATTTATAAGTATTTTACGGAAGTACTGTAGCAATATTGTAGCAGTATTGTAGCAGCACTGTAGCAGGGTATCAATTTCCTGTAGCAGGGGAATCGGTTCCCCTTTTTGAATCTGAAAAATTTTAACATTCGGGTACTGTTCATACATATTTTACTGTTTATAAATACGTTTTTGATTGGAAATTTTATACGAAACACAATTTAATAGAATATTGTGGTATTTTCTTAAAATGAGTTTAAATGTTTTGATATTTTGTAAGAAAAATATTTTGAAAAGTCAATGTAACATCTCGGACTCGTGTTCGGGTCGGATACATGTTGGGGTGTTACAGACCCAATATAAGGAAGGCCTCCCATCTCAATTTATTTTATTTACAAATGTGATTATTTAAATTTTTAATATTGTTTAAGGGATTTAGTGTCTTATTCTATTAAACCAATTGATTGTTGGTATAATAAAACGTAATGTTATAATAATAATTACATCCTTTTATAAATTTTAAGGTTTTTGAAATATGTTTCATCAATACCCATCAAGTATTCTCATTATAAAAATATCATTGTTCTTCATACATATCCTGAATTCGAACAATTGCGTCTGTATGATGTGTTGATTGTCAATAGTGTAATTTTTTTTTGAACATTTACCACATATAATCATCTCAAAACTATTTAAAAATGATAAAGTATATAAATGGTCCCCCGACTATATGACACAACTTTGTTGAGTCACTTTTACTATTAAAAGTTATAAAATAGTCCACTGATTATATGATATTGCTTTGTTGAGTCTATCAACTATTAAAACTTACAAAGTAGTCATGTGACTATTGATTATGTTCTAAACTCATCCTTTTTGTTGAAAAATCAATGGCGGTCTAAGCTGGATGTTAATCTACTGTTTGAAATATGATAATTGTTTAAGATTCTATGATCATATTTTATCATATCCCAAACAATAATTAACATCCAGTTTAAACTGTCGTCAATTTTTCTAATATAAAATGACTAATATGGAATATAATGAACAGTCGGATGACCATTTTGTAACTTTTAAGAGTCGAGAAACTCAACAAAACAACATCATATAGTCAGAGAATTATTTTATTATTTTTAATAGTAGATGGATTTAACAAAAAAACAACACTCCATTTTTATACTTTACCTTTGAAAAATACGTCTAACTGACCGATTTAATTAGAATTAATATAGGATTAAGTGAAAAATAATTTATTATTTAATTATTTTAATTTAATATATAATAATAAGTTGTATATTTAGAAAGGTCCCATGGCCTCCATTTCTTGGGCCTAATGCAATGCCCCCAGTACATGTTATTGGATTTGTGAAGCGAGAGGACATTCCACGGCCGAGCTTCTTCATCTTCTTCTTCACAAACAAACGGTACCCTTGAATTCACTGTTTCCTATACCTTCTGGGTTATTTCTTCTATTTGTTGTTCATATCTGGCTGTTATTTTCTTCTGCAACAATATGGTGAAAGATTTACTTTATTTTCCTTTCGGAGTTTAGATTAAATATCAGTTGTTTGCTAGAACTATGAGCATTTCAATCCTAGGTCCTTTCTACACTTGTTTTGTTCACCTGGAAAGGGAGGTTGAAATGGTAGAGGAGATTGCTTCCTGGGAATTTGTTATTTCTGGGTTAACTTATAGCAATATATATATATATATATATATAACTCTTCTGTATGTTTCTTCTTGAGCAGTGGGCAAGACTATTATAACAATCAACTTTGGGGCAATGATGATTGTTTCTAGGTTTCCGGCAGTTTCTTCAGATTTTTTATCTTCTTGTTTTTAGAACATTTTATGATTTTTTTGGACTGCTTTTGATTTTTTCCCCCTCAAATTTTAATTTTGTAGGTTTGCTTCATCCTAATTATAGTAAGCTATCTTTTCAGCTAAACAAATACCAAAGAACTAGACTTGCTTGTTATAAGCCAAATGGATCGACTTCTGAGAAGGTAATATTTATGTGCTATATTGTCTTAAATTCTGTTTATGCTCAGCATGTTGAGCAGTATTGCTCAATGTTTGAATGTTTTGTTCTTGTAGATTTCTAGAGGAAGTTCTCGTAGGAAGCCTTGTACAAGCAGGCATGTTGTGTCCATAAGAAGTAACCGTCATCGATTGAGTTTCGACAATGAATTACCCGAGGAACCTTTCTTGCTAAGTCTGATTAGGGAAACCATATGGTAATCCACTAAAGAATGATCTCGTTTCCCCCTTTCTTTTCCCTGTTTGCTTCCCTTTCCTGTTAGTTTTGATGATATGTGTGTATGTTGCCTTTGTTGAGTAACTGATGCATGATGCTTGTAGGGGCTTAAGATCTTTGTCTGTATTTCTGGTTGAGCAACCTAGTCAACTGAAATACATAGAATGGCCAAGCTTTGTAAGCACGGTAAGTATAGGAAAACTAAGTTACACTTGGAAGTTGTAGAATGCTTGATATTATAACAGATTAGTATACGCTAAAACGTATTTGTTTTCATCGGCGTTTTCCTTTCCCAGCTGAAGACTGCTATTTTAACTCTTGTTCTAGTTGCCGGGCTCATCGTTGCACTAGCATCAGTTGACTCCCTCTGCTATATTTTAGCTTTGTTGCTCAGAAGAACCCCTTAATAATTGAATTATTCCCTCAAAACACCTTTGATGATATATATTCCTTGGATGTTGCATTAGGGTTATCCATGGTTTCTTTTTCAGATAATATGTAGCTCGGACCGGCAAAAGATGAATGACACTGGAAATTGTTCACTGGACCGGCAGTAACTATTAGCTTAGTGACCTAGCAAAGATATGGCTATCTTATACTAATATATTTTATTTTTGTATATACTGCCTTGTTTAATGTTGTTTCATTCTCTGAGAATAAACAACTTTCTAATAAGAAAGTTCCACTTATCATCATCTGTGAATCAAAAACGATAATTGTAAGAATTTCAGCAAAGATAATATCCAGGAAAATAATTTCTGACTGAAAATTTTAAAGACAAATAGGTAAGATTGATCTCATGACTGCATGAAAGTTTACAGATCAACTTTTTTTTTTTTTGAATAGAGAATATACTATATGTTAGCTTTATCGAACAACCAAAATAAGCAAAGAGGGGGTGAGTTAGCCTTTATAAAAATTTGTAGAAGCAATCAAAAAATAAAATTATTGCACAACGATTTAGAGTGGTACAACTTTCTAAATCAAAGTTTGCATCCACTATCTTAGCACTACGTTAAGGATTTCTCAAATCCATTAGATTTGCTTATCATTAAGGAAAGGAGAATGTGTAATCTTACAAGCACTTCAAGGTTTATACCCAAAACCTTGAATGCACTCTCCCAAAGATAAATACAAATAAAGCACACAAATTAGAAAACCTCACAAGACAAATATGCTTGCACAATTTAAACACTAATCTAATACACACTTGAGCAAAATAAACAATATAGCTCTACAAATACACACTTGAGCAAAATAAACAATATAGCTCTACAACAAAGAATTTGACAAATTAAGCACAAAACAAAAACTTTGATGTTGGTAGGTTGGTTCAATATGATTATTGTCGACATTGGGAAGCTTTGACCTTCAATTTATATCTTCTCCATTAATTCTAGTCATTTGGAGCTGTTGGGGATCATTATAGTTGTTACTTGCAACCAAAAACAACATTTAATGCACAAGAGGTTAATCCTTTGGTGAAAGTGATCGTTCCTTTTTCAAATAATTTAACTGTTGCACGAAAGAGATTGATCATTTAAGGAAAGGGATCAATTCGTTTCATCGAGGGATCGATCATTTTTGTAAATGGATCGATTTACAAAAAAGATCGATCCCAAACCTACTAGAATCCAAGTGATCGATCCCAAACCTATTGGAATCCAAGTGATCAATCTCAAACCTACTAGAATTCAAGGGATCAATCCTAAACCTACTGGATCTAAGGGATCAATCTTTTTTTTCAAGGGGATCGATCTTTTTGTTAAGGGATTGATCATTTGAGCTAAAAATGTTTGAAAACTCAACTTTAAAGCGCGAAAACGAACGAGTATGTTTTTGAAAAGGTTCGACTAAGTTGGAAAACATTTAAAACATATTTTTCAGGTTAATTTGGACTTTGAATTATTTTGATCCAAAAGTAATTTTGCAATTTATTGTTATATCAAATGCTTAATACAACAAACTTCCCTTTTTAATATAACAAAACTCTTTAAAAAAATGTTAGCCTTTTGAAAAATAATAAAAAGATTTATGAATTAAAAAATTTAAGCTCCAATTTTAATTTGAAAAATTATTTTTTTATTTTACACTTATCTCCTTTTTGTTATATCAAAAATAATTCACAATGTTACTACAATATAACAAGGAAATAAAATAATTAAAACAAGCTAGAATCAAGAATAAGCATATTAAGGTACCAAAAGCATAAATATGCAAAATATTAAATGCATATAAGTTTAAATATCCAACATGAAAATTAACCAAATATCAAATTAACATAGGTTCATAATACCAAACATCTAAAGTCAAATATCCAAATGTAGCAAAGTGTAAAAAAATATAATAATGAAAATGATATGATATGCATGCATGAACTAAGATGGTGATGGAGGGAATGAAAATTTGTCCAACTGATGTTGGATCGCTTGAACCTCATCGATCATACGAGCCTTAATAGCATAATGATGACAATCAATCGCATCAAAACGGGAGTCTACTTGGGCTCGGAAAAAACTGATAGATTGTATCATCCTCTCTTCAAAGCCTCGGAAGAAATTTGTAGGAGGTGCCAAGCCAGGTCTACATGAGTCGTTCTCTCGGGTTTCTCGCCAACATCGTCATCATGAGCCTCCTTTATATGCTCGTCTCCATCGTGGTCATCATTTATATGCTTTCCATGGCGACTACGGTACCAACACATGGATCCCTCAGGCTCCTTTATATAGTCGATCTTCGTCATAGTGTCACGATCAATGGTCCTCTCATCGGAAGGGAATGTGTCGGGATCATGTGAAATATCGACATTGAGAAGCCCAAACAAATGACTAAGGTACATATCATAGACAAGGTTTAGTCGAGCCTTCGATTTGATAACGCTCACAATATCGTTGAATATCATACTAGTAAGATAAAGCTTGAGACTATGTTGAATGCAAAACATCCACCAATTTTCGCTCTTGCGAACTGTAAGGAATTTTGTGCCACAAGCACGGATGCAATGAGAGACAATGAGATGGAGTAAAGGTTGTTAATGGAGAAAAGGGTGGCTCTATTGATTAGAATGTGCATCTCGGGAGAAAAATGGCATTTTTCATTGTCATCGCTGGTAAAATGAAGGTCAAAAGATTGGACGATGAAGTAGACGATAATGGTGACGGTCTGACCCATAAGATTCGAGATAATGGTTCGATAGGTGGTGCCATCACGAGAAGCAGATGACACACGAGCATTCTAGTAAAAAGCTCAAACCAAAGAATGATAAGAATGGCCATAAAAATTAAGAAAGGTGAAAAGTTTCATATCTTTAAAGTTTTGCTCGTAAAGAAAATCTAAATTGTTTAAAAATTCAAAATTGATTTTTCAGGTTTCCTTAATCAGTCGATATGCAAAGAATGAGTCAAACACTCACAAGCTTTGGAGTTTCAAAAACGTAGGTCAATCCAATAATCAATTTGAGTGTTGTTTGTGGATTGTCCATTTGAAGCCATGATTTTTCTTTTGGGCTTTTTGAATTTTTTTAAATTTGTTTTTGAACCGAAAAGAATGTTTAAGGATGTTCAAAAATGATTTAGGAAGAATTATAAACTGAAATTTAAATTAGAAAATGGTGTATGGTCGAATGGTATTTGAAGGTGGTTTTGGTTGAGGACTTTTATCGTACACCTTGTCGATGTTAGATAAAAATTTGGAATTTTTTAAAAATTGATCAATGGATAATATTCCCTGTAACAAAACAATAAATTTTTTCAATAAATAAATGTTCTATAACCACCTAATTCAATCCAATTAATCCGAATTTAAAACATTGAAAAGTTAGGTTTTTGAAAAATCTTATCAAAATGTGATGATTCTTCAAAATTTGAAGAATGAATTGTTGAAATGATGAAATAGGATTGATTTTCACACAAAACTCACTTGAAAACAATTCAGATTGAAGATTTTGGTGAAATTTGGAGTTTGAGAGGTTTTTGGGTGTTTTTGTTTCGAATTATAGGGTGAAAAATGAGGTAACAAGAGCATCTATCCTTAAAATAGTCTTTCCCACATATTCGGTCTAACAGGATCGCTCCTTTGCAAAAGGGATCGATCTTTTGCAAAAAGGGATAAATACTTTTTGGAAAATGATCAATCATTTTTCTGAAAAATGCAAGAGATTGATCCTTTTTTTTCTGATTACACTTTTATTTCAAGGACCAAATTAGATTATATTACACTAAAATTCGAAGCAACCTAAGTCATATTATTGATAGAGAATTAATTTTATGATTTAGAGGATACTAAGGGTCAGTTTGGCAGGGCTTTTAAAAAGTGATTTTTAAAAGTGTGGTAGAAAAGAATTTTTAAAAATGTTGTTTAGAAGTGCATTTTAAATTTTAACTCTTTGGTGTTAAAAAGTGAGTTTGAAAAAAATAAAATGTTCATTATAGAAATTATGTTGTAAATTAAAAATATAAAATTTAAATTATATTTACAATTATTAATAATATATTAATACTATGATATATAAAATATATCACTTAATTTATAATAAAAATATAAAATAAATTATTAATAATAAATCATTAAAATAATTTTTTAAGGATGCTAATATTAAATTATTAAAATAAAATTTAATTATATAATTGAGTGGAGCTCATACATTAATAAGGGTAAAATTATAATTTGCTCACAAATGCAAAGTTGAAAATGAAAAAGCTACAAATCCTAGCTTTTGTGGTTAGTTTGAAACCATCGTTTCCACTATAATATTTTTAATATTTTTTACTTGTTTGATATTAATTTTACGGTCAAAACAGGCTTTTTAACTAAAAGTGCATTTGAAAAGCCACGTCAAACGGGACCTAAATGTGCATGAATGTCAACTTGAAACATCAAATTATACAAATTATTATTATTGATCAATTTAGTCCATAATTTGCACAAATAAAATCCAAATCAAGTTATACAAACATATAATGCTCTAAAGATTCTAAACATGCAATTTTTTTTGCTATATTTAAACATCATATTCTCAAAGTCAACATATACGATCAATATACAGCATGGAGAATATGATTTCACAATAACAATCAAATATTACAAATTTAAAATAAAAAATATCATCATAAACATATAAGATTATAAAATTGCAACTCATGTAATAATAACTCCCCTTAATTAATTGTGATTAAACAGTATATGGGGACACACCTTAGTTTTTAAAGACGTGCCCAGGGTGTGCCTAGACGCAAAGCGTTTATGGGTGCATGAAAATTCGCTTACAAAGTTGTAGGCGAACCGAGGTACAAAAAGCGTCCCAAAGTGCTCGCTTTTATACCTTTTGGATAAGGTGACAAGCGCACCGCTTCTGCGCCTCCACAGCTTTTTATTTCTCCTGCATAATAGATAGTGTAAAATCTTTTAATTTAACGGCACATAACGACAAAAAGACAACTGGCCTTAAAAAAGCCATCCACTTTT